GCACTTTTACTTGTGTGGTCGCACTATTTCGGCATCAGAGATTTTTGAGCAGCTAACAGCCTGACGAAACAATTGCATCGAAGGGCAGTAAAATGGGTGCAGATTCATCAGCTCAGTGCGCGCCCCACTGTCGTGACACTGCGTTGAACATTGGAACAAGGGGACGACCGAGCAAACAGCGCAGCCTTCGAGTGAACGACCACTTGGCATCTGTGAACCGGCACTTTCTGCTGGATTCTGCAACCCACTGATAGTGGCAGTGAAACCTATAGCTGTGTGCATATTTTCAACGCATAATTCAAGTACGCCCCATAGCTACCTCTTGAACTGTAGGTGGGTCAATAAGATATGCGTTAGTTGACATTCCACGCAGCGACTTGCTGTCGGCTTCCAAAATTCGCTGTCTCCAGTCTCGTGCCCTGCACTAACATGACCCAGTATTCCTAAAGTGTCAGTTCACTAAGAACGACGAACAATCTAAGCATATTGACTTGAGGATACTGATTATCAAGTTATGTGTGCAATTTAATACTTACTTTAATATTTAATACTTAACAGCATAAGACCGAGCTGCTGATCAGCGATGCAATGTGTGACGCATGTTTGGTTATAGTGGTTCAACCTCGTACTACCTTACGCATTTCATAAAAGAGGTGCCAAGGATATACAAAAATCTTTCACCATTAGGCAGACTTGAATTTTCATGGTGAAACGTGTAGATTTCAGTGACTTACAGCGAAGTTTCCGCGTAGTTTTGATGATCGATGAGGAATTTCTGTCCAGTCGTAGTATTGCTATTTATGATGTTGACGAGAGTGTGTATGATCAAGGCACCTTACGTTAGCTATTTTGGTTGGATACTTTCTTCAATAAGCATTTGATTGTATTATTCTTAAAACGAGGCTGCCAAAATAACTCACGTATTGCATTGTTAGCGTTTTGCAGCAGACAAGTGAAACGCGGTTTATTCAACTTCATAGTATGTATCGATATTGAAATCGAAGTGCTTTTGTAGTAGAGCATCGTTCCCATTGCTTAGGTAGGTACCAGCTCAGATGTTATCATATTACCATCGTCACTTAAGGTTAACGAAGCTTGAGCAGCGGAGTTGCCTAGATTGATGATATCGCACTCGGAAGAAGTTGTCTACAGTTTATGCTAGACAACAGTGTTCTGCGACTGCAACACAACCGTTATTTTTATCGTCTCAAATGAGTCATGACTCCTCGACGTGTTTCTGGTTTTATGTTGTTATGCAACGGGTCTCTGATCAGCGTTCGGCTGCCTTATGTAGACTGACATTTCTCTCTCAAAAATTCATATCATTCAATGCCTGTAAATAAGATGAAGATTGCTAATTCAATAGCTGTAAGCAAAACAGGACCGAAAGATCAGTCAACGTTAATTGTACTGCTGAAATCTTCTTGTTTCCGCTCGACTGCAGGTTTTTGAGATAAATGTTTACCGAATGAGGGCTCATCGAACAAGGTGTTAAAACTGTATTCATCTGTGAAGCGCTGACTAAATCTGTCACCTGCTTGGCTGTGCCATGTTGCTGCCCATGAAAAACCTGATTGCAGCACCTGTTTGTTTACCTTTACAGATGATCCAGTCGCTTCATATCGCCATTGATCTCGCTGTCCATGTATTTATCTGATTGACTCAATGACAGACTGAGTGCAGTACCATTGAAAAAAATTGTTCTTATTCAGACTTTGTGTCAACTGATGTAGCTTGTGTATCAAGTTTGCTGATTCGTTTTGCTTATTCTATTGCTTTACTGCCAGTAAGCTTAAGCAAATTTTTCATTCAGCTGTGTGGCATGTGTGCGAACACCTGGCGTATATTTTTGCATTGGTTCATTGAAATCACTGACCACACGCCTGCTGAACTAGAACTCGAACGTACTAAGATGTTTTCTGAGCAGTGTACCTGTCAGCTTATCTGCTGTCGTTTTCTGAACACCGTTTGAGTTTTTCTTGCTAGATTTCGTTTGTTTATGGTGTTTTCGTGTTCCTCAGCGGCAACTAATCGCAACTAACATTAAGCCAGTGCATTAAAGAGTTTTTCATTTTCTAGCCACAGCTAGATGAAATCATGAAGAGCTGTCGGGGAAAGAACTTGTTCTTTAGTCATGACACAGAAGGCGCGATCCAAAAAGCACAGCTGATATTTCTTTCGGTGAATACTCCAACGAAAACATACGGATTTGGAAATGTTGGTAAGCAACAACTCTTGGGCAGCTGATGATGTTAAACTGCAGGGAAGAGCGGCCGATTTGACTCATCTGGAGGCGTCTGCAAGAGTCATATTGTCGTATGCAAAAGACTCTAAGATAGTTGTGGAGAAGAGTACAGTACCCGTTCGGGCGGCCGAAAGCATCGCGCGTATCTTGGCTTCTAACAAGAATCCGAATATCAGTTTTCAGGTAACTCACTTTCTGTGCAACTTTACCTTTGTGTACCCCATAAGCATCTATTCACAAATCTAGCTTCAGCGTCCTCGCTGCAGAAGCTGACGATGACAAAAGTAAGCAGTTAGGACAATGTACGATGGAGTATATTTTATGCTGTGAGGACCTCTCATTAGCCTCAAAGCAACGGACTGACTAGAAAGCCATAATTTGAGTTCGACGGACCTGATGTCTTGAGACAAACGTGTCTAGAATAAGGACTTCTCCGACTACCAACCCGGGCAACTGGATTAGGGGCCACCATCCATATGCCCAACCGAAAGCAGGGTAAAACTTTTTACGTCGCAGTCTGCCCTCTGAACAGAGACCGGCAGCCCTCGAATCAGATAACCGGAAGAATAAGGTCTTTCACGCAGCTCAGCAGGGAATTCTGGCGTAAATATGTTGTTTATGCTTGTGAGTCATGTTGTCGTCCCGTTGGATTGTAGATGACGGATTTTTATGATAGTTGTTAACCTGTTGCTAAGATTTGGTGCTTGTTGCCGTAATTTCATGATTTATCGTTACAGATGCGAATAGATTGCCAGCGCTAAAATTTTTGCATTCTCTACGCAGATGTCAGAAGTGATGTTTATATGCCGCTTCAAGCGTTGCTAAGTATATAGCTGCATCGGTGCTTTAGTTCATATTGCTCAACTCATCTCGAAGGAAGTGTTTTCTGTTACTCACAGTTCAGTATGTCTATACAAGACAATGACAAAATCAAAAAATGGATGATTGTTCTCAAGTTACACAAAATCTGTTTCATAAAACGAAGGAAGGAAGGTTAGTAACTGTTGAAATGTCGATCATTCTTGCATTTTCATGATGGGGCCACTTTTTGTGGGGCGCTGATCTCCGTTTCCATGCTATCAGCCAGGAATGCCTTACTTTTTAGACAGACTTATGAGGAAAGCATCATGTAGATATCATGTAGTCTCCTGTTTCCTTCCTAGAGTGGTATACCATTCATTATCAACGTCGGAAGGAAGGAAGGCGAGTGCTGCCCTGGCCGGGATTCGAATCTGGGACCTCTTGTTTTCCAGTCAGACACTCCGCCGACGCAGCACCGCGGGTCTGCTCTGTTTCATAAATCTCATTTTTCTTTGATTGATAATCCTACAGCATCCTAATGGAATATTGGTTGCTCCGGTTGCAGTGTTGTGGTGATAGACATCGCTGAAGATTGGATGTGATGGATGAATTGTTTCAACAAGAATTACCTTCCCGAGATGAACTGCGTTTCGCAGAGCCATGAAGTTCCCAAATTGTTCATGGTAACGTACTGTGCAATCTAGTCAGTAAATTTATCAGACTTAGTGTGCGTGACAGTTGTTTTTGATTCAGGATTTAGAACTAGACGGAACTAATGTAAGGTATAACGGGCACTATGCGGGCCTTAATGAACTTTCGCAGAATGATTGCGACGATTTGCAGCCTTTGTTCTGTGCAGTAACATTGCGTTCAGCACTCAGTTGCTCAAGGCGTTTTCTGATGCTCCCAGCTGAAGCACTCATTGTCAGTAGGTCTCAGGCACTTTATTGCTGTAATCATGCTGAATCGTTTATTGTAGAATTGCGTCGTTGCTCTGCACTGGTCAACTGTTCATAAGAAAGTATTTCGCTGTAAAGCTTTTCACGCGTTCAGCACAAACCTTTGCTACCTAACCACTCTCCAACCTTATCGACACAGGCATAGAATCGTGAGCGACCGAATAATGTGCGAACCAGGGTCAGAATTGC